GACACTACTGACAGGTCAATTATTAAAAGCGCCGGTCTGCCAGGTAATGTTTCAGTAAGAAGTAAGTGACGAACAGAACATCAAACCGAACCATGGGTGACCAAAACCCTAAAGGCAATACAAATTAAAGCCATGATGACAATAAATGTACTGACAATGACAAAGAGACAGTTTTCTTGAAAACGTTACAGATGAAATACCATGTATTAACTGCACTGTTAAAGACAGTTTTATCCTTCAATACAGTAAGCAACCAAGAAGCCAAGATGGCAACCAGATGCTTCCTCTAAGCGCACTGTACCCACTTTGTGAAAACGTCGACTAGGAAGGAACGCGGTGTTCGCCGCTACAGGAGGCGGTGACAAGAAAGTTGCGAGCAACCATGAATAAAACAGACAGAAGAAGTAAAGAGAACCTGTATTGCAACAGTTTATTAGTAATATTAGTGAATCCCTATCATTTTTTTTTTTTTTTTTTTTTTGGGGGGGGGGGGGGGGCGCCTGCAAATCGGCAAAGTGCTTTTCGATTGTTGACAATAGATTAATATTAGTTTTAGGTTTACTTGAAACTGAATGGAAATTGCTGACACCAAATAGATCTATATCTCTTGTACACTGTACCCAATTAACGAACCGACCGTGGTTATAATAAGTTAGATTTTGTAAATGCCTGGTTGTTTGAATCGACACAGTCATTATTGTATGTTACCACAGGTGCTACCATTTTATAGGTTTCTCTGTCCGGCTAAACTCTATCCAAACCCTAATGCGTTCTGAGAAGCTGGAAATATCTTGATTTGTTGTCCTCCCACTGTTTTGAGTAACTAGTGCGGTCGGTCGTTACAATTTTTAGTATCGGTTATAATTAATTCGTTTTTGTGCATGCCTAGTTGTACGAACCAACACAGTTTTGTACTTTACCACAGGTGCTAGCAGTATATAGGTTTTTCTGACCGGAAAACTCTAGCCAAATCGAAATTTATTGTTCTGAAAAGCTGGAGGTATTTTTATTTCTTTGTCCTTTTACTGTTTTGGGTATCTTGTGCGGTCGGTCGTTACAATTATTTTTAGCATCGGTAATAAGTTAGCTTTTGTGTGTGCCTAGTTGTACAAACCAACCTCCTAATAGTGTTTTACCACATGCGCGTTTAAAGGTTTCTTTGCCTGTCTAAACTTTATCCAATCCTTAATAAGTTCTGAGAAGCTGGAAACATATTTAATTTCTTTGCCCTTCTAATGTTTTGAGTAACTTGTGCGGTCAGTCGTTACACTCTAGGTATTGGTTATAATCTATCAGTTTTTGTGCATTATTAGGTTCTACCACGGGTACTAGCATTTTATAGGTTTCTTTGAACTGCTAAAATCTATCCAAACCTAGATATTTTCTGCACGGCTGGAAACATATTTATTTCTTTGTCCTCCTATTGGCTTTTTTCTTAAGTGGCGCCACCGACGATTCTGAGAACGACGTTTATTTCTTTTGAAAAAAAGGGAGCAGTGAACTATCTTGTTAGTACATGATCATTGGCGTGAAGTGATGTGAAAAGGTTAGTTGGTATAGTAAGACGTTTAAAAAAACTCAACAAGTCCAATTTTCTCGACCACAGGGCGCACATTTTTGTTCTTGCCATTAGTACCTGGAAAGATATAATAAAACCTTTTCTTGCTTCTACAGTTTATTCGTTGTAAGCGTGTATTTCATGAACATGTATTTTAAATGACATAACAGACAGGATAATGCAGATCATGATTAACATTGCTAATATCTTTTATTTTCTCAAAACCAGTCACAACAACTAACACCATAAAGGTATTAGTGGCATCATGCAATGGCATTTTGTTCAATGAATTAAATTCTATGTATATATATATATATATATAATATTATATCGTATGCACCATTCAATCAATGAGAATCTCTTTATACTATACATAATAAATTTGAATATACTGCTTCAAAAGAACAATCTAAAATTATAACTCATGTGTAGAAGTACAGACTTCAACAAAAGTTAGGGACCACTTGCAAACACTCTGAGTGGTCTTCTTGGGTCGACCTGCATGTGGGCGTTTTTGGACAGATCCAGTGGCGTGATGGTGCTGCCTCAGGCGGACAATGACTGAGCATGACACTGCAAGCCTTCTGGCAACTTATCGGGCTCCAAATCCATCCTCCAGCCATGCCATAGCTCTGGCACGATCAGTCTCTCAGCTTTCGTCTTGGTGGTATGTTGATGAGATACCGGATTTTGCACAAACGGTGGCTTATATTGCCACCAAGGTGAGCACAGGTCGAGACCGTACGTCTGTTTATGACGTCCACCAGAAATTTTAACTGAAGAAAGTCCTTGGTGTCGCACACAAGTCGATAAAAAAACAGCAAATTTGGCTAAAATTCACCGAGGATTTCCGTGCTGCACGTGGTGGTTTTGGTCCTTTAGAAGGCTTTGCAGTAAGCGTTGGTAATCCATTAACACTTTCAGGTCAAAAATTTTGAAACATTCCTTGCTGTCTTTTTTTTCGGATATTTTTAAAAATTAGGACTGTCTGTCAAAGTGGTCCTTAACTTTTGGTGAAGTCAGTAGAATATAAAAAGTATACATTCAAAAGAGAACAGTAATTTGTGTCAGATTGATACCACGATCTTGCTCAAGACAATGAAAACACAATGGCTTACTCTTGTAATATCAGGACTCTGGCTGGATCACAAGACAACAGTAATATCATGTACCTAAAAACATGATAGAGCAAACCTGTTGACGAGACTTGAAATTCCTCGTGAACCATAAACGACAAAATTGTGAATAAAAGAAGTGTGAGACTGAGCTTCACGAAACACAGACTTATCAAGGTTAAAGTGAACAAAGAACCACCTAGATAAAACAAGAGAGGACAAATAATGATACATGTAAACGAGAAGGATATAATACAAATATGTTCTGCTTCAGCAAGCAACACTTCGCTACCTTAGAATCACAAAGTTCTATCTGACATTTTTGGCCGTTTTGAGTTACTAAGCCACAAGGTCAGAAACCAAACGTTCTATCTGCTCCATCAAAATCGCAAGATTATTCGGAGTCGTTATCAAGATATTCAAAGAATTGCATTTAAAAAAGCTAGACCATTATGTGAAACAAGATTCTTAACTTCAAATTTCTCAAAACTAGGTACTGAGAAAAAATAGCTTTGTAATTCTCAGGTAACGACTTGCTGGTGACCCAGTATTGATTGTGTTCCTTCATCAGCTCACTAAAGGGGCAAATGATGCTGTACAGGAATTGCCTGCTTTGAGAAAACTTAACACATGCTTTGCAGGAAAGAAACAGGTGGACACACAAATGCACATTTTAGACAGCCATAAAAATAGATCTAAAAAAAAAATGCTTCATAACAGTGTTCCGCACTGCAGAGATATGAGAAGCAAACTTTAGCCCAAATCAAGAGGAAAATATCAGTTAGGTAAAAAATGATTTGTGGTTTTCTGAGGGTTTTTAGTCTTAGGTGTTCTGTTTAACCTTGAATGTTATGCCAAAACAAAGGTAACTTTAACCCAACAATTTTATGACATTGATTAAGCAGATCGACATGAAAGCACCAAACATCCAATAACCATGTGTAAACTTCGCATTTGAATGAACATTTCAAGGAGAATACGGTATGTTCGTATTGATTGGTGACTAGACTTGCTAGAATAATACTTGTACATGATAGTATAGAAATAACCAATTTAATTAAGAAAAACCACCTTTCCAGCTCACAAATATGGGAAGAGTCAATAGCAGTTTATAGTCTCAAGCCATTTCAACATAAGAATACTAAAGACATCTTTTTGATAAAATATTGACCTGATTAATACAGTTGCTGCTGACAGCAAACCGATGTCTGGAAGAGTTGATGTGAAAAAGGTCACTTCATTTACAGCTTACTCATGACTTAAAAATGACAAGCCAAAGAAGCAGTTACTTCTCTTATCAAAAGTCTTTCAATGAACCAAGGCACAAAGTAAAATAGCAGAGTGCAGCAACAGCATTAATAACTTCACCACAATGACCTCTACTTTGACCGCCCCCCCCCCCCTCCCCCCTAAAAAAACAACAACAAGAGAAATTTCATAATAATATGAACGAAAAATGGGAGATGTTGAAGTATAAACAGCACCTTTCAACGATCCATACAGTAACCACCAAAGGGGATCTAATAAAATAGGTACCACTAGAGCTGTAACACCTAAATCAAAAAAGACAAGTTCAACAGCATACATAACATAACTAAATATCAGTCAAAGATTAATTGAAAACAGAAGCACTGGCCTGAATTTGGTATCATTTTTCCTTCAATATTATTACTTAAGTTCAAGGCAAGATGACTCTCCTGACTACAAACATACATACATGTAATATTACTATTACCAATATTCATGCAACCTTGGGGTGTTACACGTAATGGCCTTCAGATAGTAAAGTACACATAATTTTATAGAGAGAAGAAAATCAAATTTCAGGATGATAAGCTCTGCGCAAAGAGTATTAAATCAATGTTTATGAATTCACTTACTAACTTCCAGTACTTAAAGAACATAGGCACGTGTCAAAGCCAACTCGCCCCATTGTTACAAAGGATATAGGAGACTGAATTTTTTGTCACTAAATAATGGGAGAATGCCCATACACATGTAATTTTTACATCTTAAAGTAATTTGTTATCATATATTTGTGGAGAAACAGAGTAAAAGTACTGTTCTATTCTGAGCCATTCACAAAGTGATATAATAAAATGATCGGCAGACAATGAAGCCCAGTGAACATACTTTACAATCCTGGAAGTTCAAAGTCATATTACACAATTAGTAGCCCCCCCCCCCCACACACACCCCCCCCCTCCCCCCACCAGCTTTCAGCTAGGACGTTGTATCCCTCTCAGCCTAACAGGCAGGCTAGTTGAAGCAGCCCATCTTTTAGATGACATAAATCAGTGTAGTGTAAATGTGAGCGTACAATTTTCTAAATTACAATTACATAATCCCCTCACCAAACCTAAAATAAAAATAAATCAATGAAATGACTTGTGAAGACAAAACAGGTCTGTCATAAATGTGTCATGGTAAGTGTAGTCATGTTTGAGGCAAGCACATAGAGAATAAAACAATCAAAAGGGCACAAATGTTCCAGATAAAGTTTTATATTTTTAAGAAGTATTCTTTGCTGTCACACATGTTTCTGCAACCCATCCAAATAAAATGTGATCATTATGCACGCATTCACGATCTCGTTTTCTTATTCTGTGAATTCATGATGACACTCACTACCGCATTCATAGAGAAAAGAAGATCATTATTACATCAAACGTTGATCTGAGTATGCATCTCAACATGACAACAAAGTGTAAAAAAAATTAACTCTGCGTAGACTGAAACATGCCCCAAGCACACAGAACAGTTTGATTGAACAAAAAAAACCAAAAAAACATTTCCTTACCAACTTATTCCGCCTCTAGAATATAACTCCAATGTATTATGGAACTGTAAAGAAACGACATAGTAGCATGCAAATATACACTCTTTTCCCTTTTTTCATGACTAACACAGTAAAAAGAAAAAAATACCAAATCGGGCATTCATTTCATGTTGGTAACCCTGTATCCCCAGCTTCAAAGCCAGAACTCATCAAAACTCGTCTTTGGTTGTCTTTGTCTCTTGTTGCTTCGCCTCTTCCTTTTCAGCATCCTCCTTGCCTATCTTATTAATGGCGTTGTCAATGTACTGGTAGATCTGGTCTGGGCTCACCGTGGGGCCCCACGCTCCAATGACTTTGCCCTGGTGATCAACAAGGTACTTCCAGAAGTTCCAGGTAGGAGGTTGGCCCGATTGTTCTGTGGGCACACAAACAAAAAGTGGCATAAACACAGAAAACACATTGTTCTACATATAATATATGTGACACCAATTTTGATGGAAATAAAATAGAAAGATAAAATGTGTCATGCCGTGGCGGAATCAGGTGCCCACCAGCATATGGAGTTATTAGTATAATCTTAAAGTTTAAAATTATTCAATTGTCTTGCTTATGATGAAAAAATTACCTATCTATTTAGAATAGAAGCTGAGCTACTGGCAATTGAAAGAGGTAGTGGTCACCTGGTTTCAGAAATAAATGTATCACGACATGGTAGAATCAGGCATTCGTCATTTTTCAGGCATATGAAATTATTGATATCATCTTAAAACTTGTTCATTTGCCATACTTTCAATGAACAAACATCAATCTATCTTGAAAAGAAGTCAAAATATTTGCAGTTGAAGGACTTTGGGGTCGCCTCGTTTCAGATATAAAATTAGCGAGAAAATGGGTGCCAAAGTTTAGTGACTACCTTAAGAGCCCTTGGCAACTGCAAATTTAAATTTTTTAACATTGTTCAGTAAAATTTACACATAAATATTTTTTAAATAGACATTAAAGGTGTTGAGCCAAAAAACAAAAGTTTGATAAAAACTGCCAATTTCTGCGATTTCATTTTTGACAAGCGTCTGATTTCACCACGATGCCTCACAAATTAGCAAGAAATTGGCGGGCAAAATTTGGTGACTTCTGAAGCTTTTGAGTCCTTGGAAACTGGAAATTTACATTTTCTGTGCCTGTTATCGAAGTTTTTCAGTAAAGTCCACGCAACAATGTATCTTTAAAACAGACATAAAAGGTGTTGAGCAAACAAATAAAAATTCGATAAAAATTACCAAACAGGAAGAAAGATACGGATTTCTTTGATTTCATTATTTGACGAGCACCTGAGTTCACCATGATGCCTCCCAAATTATGATTTCAGATTCTACATCATCTGTTGACTTTTTCATGTCTAGTGAGTGACTATAACTCAGCAGACCCAGACCACAGTGATCACTTTAACAGCCACTTTTCTATATGATCTTGAGTAGCCGTTATCAAAACTGTATCAAATGAGGGGGCAGGAGTGGTGGGTCTTGGATATGAGTTCAAGTCCCCTTTTCGTTATGTACCAATAGCGTTATGTACTCGTTTTTATAAAAAATACACATGCATAAGACTAAATTCGGGACTTGGACAACCTTTAGATAAATTCATGTTTCTCTGTCAACGTATTCGCTATACTTATGCTGCACTGTAGACCTATTCTTATTACATCTGCATGAAAAGTATATTGGACATACTTTAGATTTTGTTCATGATCAACATGAATAGAGAAGAGTAGAGGAAACTGGCACATAAGTTTAAAAAAAAAGAAACAAAAGAATCACAGTACTCAACAGGACTTTCAGCCATCACACAAGTCACAGGAATAAAACATTACAGATCAAATAAGCAAAAACTCACGAATGAGGTAGTTCCATGATGGGGGAACATCTTGACCGATGACATTTATCTTTGAAAACAGTAAAAAGGTAGCTCCCATGCTATTGTAAGCAAAGTTGTGGATTTCTCTGAGTGTCTGAAACAAAACCAAAAAATATTAAATTTGGTTTCTGAGAAATGAAGTAGTTGGCCTAGTGGTTAGTCTGCAGGGCAAACTCAAGTGTGGTGTAAGCGCACCTTTATAATAATTATTGTGACGTAGGCCTAAAGGGCATATCACGTGACTGACACCTCATGTGATTTCGTGCAAGTAGCGGGTAATCTCAGTGTCACTCACTCACTGAAGCCGAAACGAGTAACATCGGCTAACCAAGAACTACCAGAAGACGAACAGGTGGGGCCCCACCAACATCAACTACCATCTAGATCTACTACTGCAAGACTCAAGTTAGTCGTAACATAACATCTTGGGTATGATTCCTTGCCATGATGGGGCTGATGTGGTGCCTTTGGGAAAGACATTCTACATAAGATTTCCTCACTATATCCATGAAAGAACGGGGTATGATATCAGCATAATGGGGGAATTAAAATTACTAATTTCTTATTTTTTAAATGATTCCGACTGTCAGTTCCACTTAACGCTAAGGGGTCCATGACATGATCAGTTAAAACTGATAGTTGTCCATCCTCTTTGTGATAAGGATGTAATCTTGGTAAAAATACTTCTTTTTTGTGGTCTTCTAAATCCACCAACAAAAAGAATCACTTGCAAGTCATTTGGATTATTTTGATGCGCCGACTCCAAATTTGATCATTTTTACAATAAGACATAGTTTTCAAAATTGTTTGCAAACAAAATAATTATGATTAACAGGCTACAGGTGTCACAGACCGTCCATTCATGGATGCTGGGGCCCTCTGACGATAAAATTTGACTCAAAGACCCTGAAAGAACTTTTTTCCCCCCAGAATATGTAATACAGAGGTGAATTCATGTGTAATAACCTTGCCCTTTTCAGTATTTTGTTTTTAGACTTTGAATACCAGGGTAGAGTCATTTTTAACTCTGCTGTAGAAGTTAGTCTAGATATATATCTACCTTATCATCATTTTAAATATATTAAATGCATTTATGTGTGTCTCGCCCTGCAGGTGGGGGCCCCAGAGTTTTACTATAGGGAAGCAAAGAATACACCTGCCGTGATACTGCGTGTCACAAGAGGTGACTAAAGGTGCATAAATTTGGTCGCTCGAAAAGTGCCAGTTTGTGGAGGGCCAACTACCCGACCCAGTAAAAAATGGAAAGTTATAGAAACACTAACAAACACGCCTTATTATTTTTCCGTCTTCACAGACGGAGGAGCTTCTGTATCAGCAGGAACAGTGAAGGACAGCCGACAAAGCCGAAAGGACTCTTCTGACCCGAAACATTCTCTGTAGAACAAGTCTCTCCGGATTGCGTCGTGGAATGATCGCACCATGTATGAAGCAGGAAAGAGTTCTCAAGTGGCACAAGAGATGAAGAGATACATTCTGCACATACTTGGAGTCAGCAAAACACACTGGAAAACAGTCTGGACAGATTTTAGGAGGGAAAATAAGCACCATGCCATGCGGAGGGAGTTGGAATTATTTTGAGTAAGTAGGCACAGAAGTCACTTAGAGGATGGGAACCACAGAGAGATAGGATCATGTGGCTTCATTCACTACAATGAATAAGTGCATCAACATGAACATAATTCAGATCGACGCCCCAACAAATGAAGCCTCGGATGAAGACAAGGATACTGCCAGCTCCAGGGGGTCATCGACAAATGACCAAGGAAGGATGTCAACATCATTGTGGGAGATGCTAATGTTAAGATTGGTCAGGACAACGTAGGTTATGAAGGAATCATGGGATAACATGGCTTGAGACAAATGAATGAGAACAGTGAGATATTTGCAAATATCTGTGCTTTCAACAGTTTTGTCATTGGAGGCTCTATTTTTCTCCATAAGAGGATCCAAAAGGCTATATGGGTATCATCGGTTGGAGTGACCGAGAACCAGATCGATCATTTTTGTATCTCAAGTAGGTTCAGGTGTTCACTGGAAGATGTCACGGTACAGAGAGGGACAGATGTTGGATCGGATCATCATCTGCTGTTAGCAAAACTCAAGCTTCGTCTCAAAAAGCTGGAACCAGAACAGGAACCAAAAGAACAAAGTTCCAAGTAAGTCTCTTAGATGGACACAAGAAAGAGGAGTTTCAACTGCAGTTGAGGAACAGATTTCAACCCTTGGCGGATCTTGGCGATGAGGACATGGAGGTGGAGAAGCACTGGACCAAGGTCAAAGAAGTCTTTACTTCAACAAGTCAAGAAATACTCGGTGAGAAGAAATGGGACCACAAGGAATGGATTAGTCAATGGTCAATGGATTTGATTAGGATTAAAAGACAATTGAAAGCAGAGACAAATGCAAGTAGAACAAGGGGATCAAAAGCTGATGCAATGGAGCAGTACAGGCCAACAGCTAAAGATGTAAAGAGCTCACTAAGAAATAACAAGGAGGAATTCATGAACAGGCTGGCAGAGAGGGCAGAGGATGCAGCAGCAGGAAGGAACATGGGAATCCTTTACCAGACTACAGAGACTCTTTCTGAAAAAGTATGGGATACCAGAAGTAACTGTAAAGGACCAAGAGGGAAAAACTATTTTTGGCAAGAGCATTTCAACAGTCTCTTGAACAGACCACCACAAAGTAACCCACCAAATATTCTGCCAGAAAGAAATGAGTTACCAATCTGCTGTGATTCTCCATCAAAGCAAGAGATTAAGGATGCGATTAAGAAGCTGAACAACGATAAAGTGGCCGGTCCTGATCAGATTCCACCTGAGGCCCTAAAACCAGATGCCAGTGTGACGACAAACCTCCTTCTCCTGTTGTTTACCAAGATCTAGAAAGAAAGCAAGTACCCAAAGGACTGGAAAGAAGGGCACCTTGTGGTACTTCCTAAAAATAGAGGGATCTCAGCAACTGCAACAATTACTGAGGAATCACTCTTCTCTCAATACCAGGTAAGGTCTTCAACAGAATCATTCTGGAGAGAATCAAGTCTGCAACAGATCCAAGACTTTGAGATGAACAGGCTGGTTTTCTGAGAAAAAAAACGGTCAACCACGGACCAGATTGCCATGCCGGGGATCATTGTGGAACAGTCCCTGGAGTGGAACTCCAAGTTGATTGTCAACTTTCTTGACTATGAAAAGGCCTTTGACAGTATAGACCGAGCAACACTGTGGAAGATACTGAGACATGACGGAATCCCACAGGGATTGGTTAACCTCATCAGGAGCATGTACAAAGAGACAAGTTACAGGGTTATACAAGATGGCCAGCTCACTGACAGCTTTGACATCAAGACTGGTGTGAGACAGGGATGTTTACTATCACCTTTCTCTTTATCTTGTCAATCGACTGGCTGATGAAGGAAACTACCGGAAGACACAGAAATAGCATACAGTGGACCCCCATGGACACAGTTGGACGATCTGGATTTTGCAGATGACTTGGCGTTTTTTTCCACACACCCAGGAACATTTGCAAGCAAAGACCACAATTTTAAACAGCCTATCAGAGTCTGTTGGACTGAGGATCCACCCCGGAAGTCAAAAGTCCTAAGGATAGATGCACTACGAAAGGAGCAGGCCACAGTAGAGGAAAATGCACTAGAAGACATCGAATCCTCCTGTTATCTTGGGATTATAATTGACCGAGAGGGAGGAACAGGCGCTGAAATAAAGTCTCGTATAGGAAAGGCACAGACAGCATTTATTTCTTTGAACAGGATTTGGAGGACTAGGGATACGAACAAAGCTGAGGACTTTCAACTCAAATGTGAAGTCAGTCCTGTTGTATGGATGTGAGACATGTTGTTGTTGTTGTTGTTGTTGTTGTTTTCAAATCCCTTTAGCTGCGAGCATTTCGCTCTTGGCAGCACAATGCCTCACTCAAGTAACAACGTGTCCTTGTCATCTAGTCAACGCCAGAGGGATGTGAGACATGGAACGCATAAACAGGATCCAGGTTTCCTTGAACAAGTTTCTGAGGAAGCTACTGAGGATCAGATGGACAGACAGGATCACCAACGAGGAAGTACATGTATTAAGAAGAACGAGACAGAGCCCAGTTAGAGATGGGGTGGGAAGAAGGCGTTGGCGATGGAATGGACACACTTTCAGAAAGTCAAGCAGCTGCATAACAAAGAAAGTGTTAGATTGGAACCCACAGGGTAAAAGATCAAGGGGAAGACCATGTGGAACCTGGAGAAGAGTCACGGAAAAGGATGTACAGAAAGTGGGAAGACATGGAGTGACATCAAGCGACTCGCCCAGGATAGGGAAAGGTGGAAAGTGTTTGTTCGTGGCCTATATAATAATAATAATAATAATAATAATAATAATAATAATAATAATAATAATAATGAAGATCATTTCTATAGCGCCCACTCCCGTGTAAACACAGCTCTAGGCGCTTTACATAAATGCATGTAAGAAAAATATTCATGCACGCGACACACACACACACACTCACACACACACACTCATATACACACAAACACACACACATATACATATACACACACACAAACACACGCATACACACTCACGAACACATAACACGCACACGTGTATGCCAAACACACACAAACACACACTCACACACACACACACACACACACACACACACACACACACGTACACACACACACACACACACACACACACACATATCTACTTGCTTATCACACGCACACGATTACACATCGTCACGAAATGAGAATAAAATAATATATACACTGCAATTCACAAAATACATAAATGGATACATAGACATTACATAACATTGTACTGAACATGAATCTACTGACTTAAAAGGATGTCATTAAATGTGTCTTTAAAGATTTTTTAAATTTAGACTCAGATGTTGTATGTCTCAAGGGTTGGGGAAGAGAGTTCCAAACTGACGGATCAAGGTGGGCGAACGATCTTTCAGCTAATTTTTTACCGCCTTTTCTAGAAACTCGTAAAAGATACTGGTCGCCTGATCTTAGTGATCTAGATGGAACATAAATCTGGATGAGATCACTAAGATATGAGGGAGCTTTGTTATTGACACATTTATGACATAATATTGCAATTTTATATGACATTCTAGCTGACACGGGAAGCCAATGCAACGTTCTTAACATGGGAGTAATGTGGTTCCTCTTCTTTTTCTTTAGTACAAGCCTAGCAGCATGATTTTGAAAACTTTGTAACTTGTGAAGAAAGGTATTTGGTAAGTTAGCTAGTAAAGCATTGCAATAATCGATGCGTGAAAACAAGAAAGATGACACGAGCGTTTTCAACGAGTGTTCGTTCAAAAACATAGACATATGACCAATTCTACGCAATTCACAAAATAAAATGGTACATAAATAATTGATATGATGTTCCATTGACAATTTTGAATCAAAATACACTCCCAGATTTTTTGCTTTGTTAGTAAAATACAGTGTTTCATTTTCAGTACAAATATGATCAATGTCTACGGGGATATGGCTTTTCTTTGGGTTACATAACAGAATTTCAGTTTTATTTTCATTAAGCTGGAGCTTATTATCAACCATCCACTTTTTGATGTCATCAATACACAGACCCATCGTAGTAAGCAAGGTTTCAACATCTGATGGTGGAACAGATTTATATAACTGTGTATCGTCAGCGTACATGTGATAATTCATATTGTGCTTTCTAATCACAGCTCCAAGCGGCTGCGTATATAACGTATACAAGATTGGACCCAATACTGAACCTTGAGGCACTCCAAAGTCTATATATATCCTGATCCAGGGAGAAAAAGGCAATGATGACGATGATTTAGGTCTGAATGTTGGAGTGAGTTTGACAAAAATCTATACTAACAACATCAGTAACAACAAATTTCAGGACATTAGTGTAGAGAGAGATGCAGGCCAAGATAACAAAGAAACAGACCTCTGATGAAAACCTCATGACTTTACATCTTGACTAGCTTGTCTATTTAAAATGACCCTTTCTTTCCTCTTTGAGACACAGTACTGGAATTTGTTAGAGACGTATTCTGCTATCGCTAGGATATTTTTCTAGTCGCTAGTAATGAATTCAGAACTGAATGATTAAACAAAAGCTTACCCCGGGCTCCTGACCACCAAACTGATTACACGGAAATGCCAGAATGTTGAACTTTCCGGTTTCCCTAAAGAGTTGATTCAGCAGATTCAGAGACTTGTAGTGGTTGTCAGTGTAACCACATTCACTAGCAACATTCACCACCAGCGTCACCTGGAAAGCAAAACCACAACAGGATGAACACATAAGCCGATTTACCTCATAGAGAGAATTACACAGTTCCACAGAATATCATTTTAAACATGTCAGTTAATGAAGTTTGTAATTGGAAATAGCCTTCAAACTCAGAGGTCCCATTTGCGACAAAACGTGGCAAGTCCATTTTTCCAGTTTTGAAAAAATTATGAACATTTCTGTTCTTCGCCAATTTACTGAATAATCTGGAGCAACTTTGGTTTTAGAGTAAACATAATGTAAGGTTTGGTTGACATTCGCTAATGAATGAAATCTATCATATTGGATTCTTCCTTTAAATTTATCAGATCTCTACACAAGTCTTAGGAACAAGGGTGCACCTTTAGAAGTAAGAAATGAGTTCATACGATAAGCATACAAAGACCAGAAAACCATATATTTGGAAGGCTCTTTGAAAAAGCTATATATAACAAACGCTGAAAAGATAAATGATTTCGACATTTCAAATCTTCCAGGAAACTCAGAAATTGCCAAGGACCTGACAAAGCCATTTTCACTGGCTTGCAGAATTCTGGCTGCCCGCAGTGTTAGTGAGTGCAGACCAAAAGCAGCGACCAGAAACGTAGCTACTCCGTGAAAATATGGTCTCTTTACCACTATAGAGTGTGCACATCAAAAGCCACGGGCTCGCTCTGCATGCTCGCATGCAGCTTGGTACGAGCGGCAGAAAATATTTCGGTATTTATCGCCGCTCCAATTGAACCTCATCGTGACCCAGATCTTCCCATCGAAGTCAGATCTAAAAATAGGTGTACCGGGTTGCGCAAATCATACTTTCCAACACACTGAAATTCACCCAACATAAATTATTACCTTTTCCTGTTATACCACTGTGTTTACGGTCATTTTTCATAATCAGATGCTGCTTTCGGCAGAACCAACTATTAATTTATTGCTGCTGTAGTTTCTTTTCTGATGATGATGGTGGCAATGACGATGACGACGACAATGAGGGAAATGATGATGATGATGATGATGTTGACAATGATGATGGTAATGATGATGATGATGACAATGATGATGATGATGATGAGTCAATGAGCTCTACAGACAGTGTTGGACTAAAGGAGTATTGTTTTATAGCCAGTTTTTTGATTTCGTGAATTTCCTGAAGGCAGGGTCATTCATGCAAGAAAATGTAGTTTTTTGTTGGTTTTGCTTTTTTATGTTTTGTTTTTGGGGGGGGTGAGTTTTGTGTTTAATGGCTCCATCGACACAAAGTTAGGTCATTAACCCCCACGGCAGGAGAAAAAGATAGGAAACAAGGAAGGGTAGCTGAAGAGATTTTTAAAAAGTAAGGAAAGGACATTTTAACGTTTTAAAGTATACCGGCACTGCCTGTGATGACGGGGCAGTTAACATCAAGCCCTCAAAATGGAATGCAGTTTATTGTCTTACCCAAGACCCTACCTCTGTAGTTCCAACTCAGTTATGAACATACTACATGAGTTTGGCCATTTACATCAAAATGGCACTGAGCATGGGATCTTTTTCTGTTGGCCCGATGGGTGCATTATAATACCAAAGTATGTGTCAGATATACATTAATAATTGATGGTTCCAACAAATGTAGCAACATACAAGCAGGCCATTCATCTGGAGTGCTGGCCATTTTTGTCGACACTAAACTGATGTAGGCCTACACATTATGTAGCACCCACCACTTCTCAACTAATCGCAAGAGCTACTAGCTAGCATGGCTCGGTATGTGTTTGAGCATGCGGCTTTCGGTGTGAACAGACAAGCTTTCATCCAGACATGGGCTTTCTAACAGCTAGCGGTCGGTCAGCCGTCACAGCTTTTGGTTTGCACGCTTAGCTACTCGTTTATAATAAATAACCGCACCATGCCGCGGTACAGCTATAGTTCGGCTCACCGCTCTTGGTCAGCACGCACCATTTTACAAATAACAAACTATCTTTTATTGTGTTCCTCCGTCTCAAAAAGAGTTCTAAAATACAGGAGGTCCTCCTTTTTAAAATTGTGCACTTTTGTTCAGCATCGGTTCAGGGGTTCGCGAATACCGTTTCGGAAACTGCCCAGGACCTGAAGAAGCCATTTTCGCTGATTAGCAGAGTCGCTGCCACCAGTGGTTCTAAGTAAAACAGACAATCTTTTGCGTTTCTCTGGCTCAAAAAGAGCCCTAATAACTACAGGGTGCACTTTCATAGCATCGATATTTCAGGGGATTGTATAGACCATTTTCATATAATCTGCTGATGTTATCAGCAGTACAGGCTGGTGGCAAAGAAAGTGCTGATCTCATCGGCACTTGCCAGTAACTGGGTTTACAGGTAAAATCAGGTTTGTGAAAAAAGTTTATCCTGAAATATGTGTCTCACCTTTCTAGATACAACAGTACTAGGCCAAACTTCGAAAGTGGTGTTTGACATGTTTTGTCATGAAACTGTTCGTTAATTCTTGACTCACACACATTTACCAGGAGTGTATTTTATATATAAGGTACAAAATTAGGGTAAATAAATGATAGTACAAAATTTGGGTAAACTAATGATGATATTTTTGTTGTTGTTGCTATCTTGCAAGTTTCCATTCTATGCCAGCTGTAAGACATTATAAGTTCAATGGCTGGCAAATAAAAATCTTCACAACTCTTTTGTGAAACTAACAAGTACTGATCCGACTTCCCAGAAAGTCATTTTAACAAGCAAGAGGCTATTCTCCGGCGTCACGCTGGTCAATGGATCGATGGCTATTCTCCGGCGTAACGTATTGCACATGTCGCTTCTCCACAGCTTCCCATCTCCCCTGTCGGAACGTTATGGCCTTACTGTGCCTTACATTTAACATTCATCAGGGTCGGCATTTCTTCAGAATGCGATTCCCCGTAGGTGGACAAGCAGCCACTACTCAATGAAAGCTCCAGGGACAGAAGAAGGAGGAATTTTTGTGTCAGATGTGACAGCGCCAGAAGTGCCAACAACCTTCAGTCACAACCAGATGTACGACACTGTACGTAACAAGAATTGGCACACAAATATCAATATATTATATAGATCTAGATCTATATCTGAACAAAACAGCTTTATAATATTATGGTTCCTTGTACTAGATTAGAAGGTGCCATAACAATAGATCTAGGACTATTAAAGTCATACTTTTTTCAGCACATTTACCTGTCCTCGATATCTCTCGAAGGAAACGATGTTGTCGTCTATATCCACAGCAAAGAATGAGTAAAAATCAAATTCCTCAGGAATTTCTTCATCCAGATGGGAAAAAGAAATACTATCCTCATTTTTGTTTGAGGTAACTGAAATGAATAGGAGGAAAGACAGACAAAGCAAATGCTGGAAAAGAAAAATTGTACACTTCATCTTTGATCAATTTTGCTCTCCCAACGAGGGCCACGTAGACTTGGACCTCCTTGACTGCATCAATTACTTTCAACAACAGTTCAAACGTTCGCAACACAACTTTTAGATTCCTGACAAAAGCTAGAATTTGTGGAGAATATAGTGCAGGAATTCAGTTTGCACTTTAAGCCAGAACTATGAGATTCTTTAGAACTTAAAGTCCGCAAGCGTCGACTCTTTCATTGATTTCAATAAAGCTAGGCCTATTGATCGCGTTTTAGTTTTATTGTTTAGGTGGCACCGGAAATAAATGGTTGCGTTGACAAGTATTGCAGATTCTAGCAGTCAGCTTTTATACTAAGATTGTGTTAACTTCGTGAAATATTAGTTTCACAACATAAACAACGTTCTGAATTAACTCAAGGTTTCTGGGTACCGGTGTATAGAATGTACACACACACACACACACACAACATACACACACACACACACATACACACACACACACACACACACACACACACACACACACACACACACACACA